ATATGTTTCCTTTAACAGCGCTTGTCTCGATCCTACCGAGAGGCGAAGGAACGTCTCATTCCAGTGGACTTATCTTCAGTCTTTTGCGCGTGTCCGTATTTTATTAGCTTTCCGCGATGCAAACGGTCTGGCTAATTACTCAACTTTCCTAAGCGATTTACGTAGTGAGGAAAGGCCATTTATGGAGCCAAATACTACACCAAGTTAGTGCTATTTCGATTTAATTCTGTTAGAAAGGCTTCGGCTCAAAAACTGGCAATAAGACCGCTTAAATCGCCTCCAAAAAATAACTACTTCAAGTCTTGGACTTTGTGCGCCGTCAGCTTTTTGGTCTGGGACGAAAGGAATGACAACATTTCGAAAATTCATGGGTTGAATTTAAATATTCGAAGATTGTGAGATTAAATCAAGTATATTTTTCAAATTTACTATAACGATAAATCGTCCTGAAAATAAATAAAAAAGATCGATTGAACGGCTAATTTGTTTGTTTTTACCTGCAGAAAAAAGGTAATCTTTTATCATCCGTAAAAAGCTGGCGCCCTCGAGAGTATCAAACGCAGGGCAGCTTGAGTATAGCCAAAGCACTACCTATCTGAAATATCAGACTTCGGCCAAGAGCTATGACTTCAAGCACACTCAAAGTCAACTACGATAGAGGGGCGCTCACCGATCGCTTTACGGAAATCACTCGTCCGGTTGTGCCTTGGAGCTCTCTCTTTCCATCTCCGCCAACAGCGGCGCAGGGGCGGATGATATAGGCAGAATAGTATTACTAGTCGCCCTTGGTTTTGTCGGTCATGCTATTGTGCCAATGTCGACTTTATCAAGAGTACTGCGGATCCATACCCGTTGTCTGTTAGCCTGACATCCTAGTGTCTTCAGCTCGGCTTTAGAACAACAACCGAAAAGTATTAATTCATTAGAAAAGCATGTTTACGAAGAGCAGACAGCTGAGTTAACAGGGACAGTAGGCCAAAATCTTTTCAGAGTACTCAAATGACGTAAATGTTTGCGCTCTTCTTAAAGATTCGATCCAACGATAATTTAACAATGTTGCTTCAAGAGTTCCCCAGCAATGAGCCAATAAATTTACTTACGGTCCCGTTCCGTCTTAAGATTAGATCTGACGACCCTCAGACTTTCCAGTTTTTACAGTCCTTCCGTTTCGACTTCCTATTCCGGTCGGTGGGAGTGGGCTTATGAATTCAGCCTTGACTGTAGGCACCGCCACTCAGTGGTGGGTCTTAAAGAAAAAACCAACTTAGCATTCAGTCCATGCAGCATATATGTCAGTTAACTCGAAAGACTTTCTATCTTTTCTTCAAGGCAAAAATTCACAACGCATGATAGTAAGAATTCCCCGTATTACGTTTGCCTTGTGGAAAGTTCCAAGGCGCATTAGGCTTGGGTCTGGGTAATGCCTGTAATCAGATTAAAAGGCAGGTTTGTCCCTTAATTTTAGGTTTATTTTTGGAGTTATAGTCGGGGGTGTAGCATGGAAATATTTACTCTTCCTGAATTTTTTGCGCAAACGCAATGGTATTACAAGGGAGTGGGTGTTCCTTTTTCCTGTCATTCCAAAAAAGTAAATAAAATATGCCAGATTTTCCCTTCATTAGTCAACGATGCCGTACCTCGAGATTTATCTCATCTGCTCGTGCTTAAGCCAAAAATTAGGCCTCAAATAGCACAACGTAGGATTCCAAAACATCCGACAGCCCGCCCACATGTGTCTGCGTGAATTTCCGTTTGAAATTCTCTGTGAGGTTTAACCCTGGAAAGACATTCACAGGCCTGCTCTGCGGTAAATTTGCAATACCAGGAGCGGACGTCAAAATCCTGCTTTACCTAATCACACCCATAGGCATACGTGCAGTGCGTGACTGATCTCATGAAATGTTGGCTAAAAGTCTGGAATGCGTTTTAGATTAGGAAGGATTACTTAAGTGGGATTGTTATACTGATTGTCATGCAGCATAGCCCTGTAACATTTCGGACTCGCCAGGATGTCGACTTTTAAATGCAGTGCTACTTGACCTCCTGTAGAAATCACCCTCGGTAAAAAATGACTGCTTAAGTAGCGCGCATTTTTCCTTTTAATTTTTGGTGGTCTTATAAATTCAAACATATGTTGCAGGAACCATGCACAAAAATATGCTTTCCTTTATTAATTTGGAAGGAAATCACATTGGCTTTATTTTTTATACCCAAAGTAAGTGTATTTATTTAGGTTTTAAAAATGTTCTAATTATGAGATTTTTATGACTGTGCGATGTCTATGCATGCAAGACCGCAAATGTACTTTTACTAATGCTCCTCATAAAATGCACAACAGAGTCCGGAGCCATTGTACAATTTCATGAATTCTTTGTAGCATCTTCTTAAAGGCCTAGAGGAAGACATGATTTTCCTTACGCGGGAAAGCGTGCACCTTGTAGACTGAAATTGCTAAACGTTGATGCAAAGGCAAATCAGACTGAAAATTACTCGGGCATTGGGAAACTTTTTTAAGACCTAAATATACCCTTTCTTCAGCATAAAATAAGAATCCAATGTGATTTTCTTCCAAATGAGCAAACGAAAGCATATCTTATGCATGTTTTCTGCAACATATATTTAGAATTATAAGATCACCAAAAATCATTAGGAAAAGATCATGCTAATTAAGTGGTCATTTTTTACCGAGTGTGATTTCTACAGGAGGTCACATAACAGTGCATTTGAAAGCCTACATACTGGCGAGTCTGAAATAATAAAGGGTTATGCTGTATGATAATCGGTTTAGCGACCGCACTTAAGTAATCCCTCCTAATCGGAAACGAATTCAAGAATTTTGGCCAACATTTCATGAGATCGGCCACGCACTGTATGTTGAAAGAAGGAGCGACAAAAACAAGGAAAACTGCAATGGCTTTTCTCGCTAATTAGCCGCCATCATCCAGCCATATCCAAGCATCTGGGATTCAAAACCGGGCTCTTTGATCCCTGAGCTGAGCCCGTAAGTGGCGATTGGGTTCGAATCCCCGGTTCGCACCAAAGCTGGGGTTGTGAATGACTGGGCGATGACGACTAATAGGCCAGAATAGGTCATTCCGTTCACCATAAATTCATAGTTACTATGCGACTGCCTTCAGGAGCCCCAGACTGGGCCTCCCTCCAGGCACAACGGGTCGAGCGTGTCCCCTAACCCGATAGGTGAATGCGATTCCAACAGAGCCCAATCTGCTCCCAGTCATGTTTTTGTGCATTGGGGGAAACAGAGCCGGAAGCTGGCTACTTGTGACCCAGTCAGTAAAGATAAGTAATTTGAAAAAATGCGGTACCGATTGGGCCAGGTGGGAGACGCGTGCCCGGGGAGCCGCGACCGGGCCGGCAGGTATCAGAATTGAGAGATGAGGTAGAAGTAGAGATGCCATGCAAGGAGAGAGTGTGCGGTAAGTCGTGCTGATATCTCTGGGAGGCTATGGAGGAGGCCTGAGCGAACGTTGACGCACCGGCGATCCTGGCCTTCGACTCGTCAACGTCCGTGACCTGAGAAGTGCGCCCATAGCCCATAGGGATTCGAGGCACCAGGAGGTGTGCGTACGAACGTTCCTGGAGGGTTTAAAAAGAAAGCATGGTTGCCCAGCGCATGCGAGTTATAAAAACGCTGCCTAGTGACGGTAACACGCAAGAGATGGCATTTCATCTGTGACATTTCCAGAAAGGGCAATCGTTCAATGACTATGCCCAGTCAGAATAATTTGGAGATGCAGAATTGAATAGAATACTACCTTAGAGCGCGACTGTAGGCAACATTGGGTGTAGTGAATGAGGTGGTGTGGATTCGCAATTTTCATCATGCCGCATCTTCGATGCATTAAATTCACTTCATCTGAACAGCTTGATCTCTCTCTCTGTACTGGATCTATTGTCTCTCCAACTCCATGGTCCAAAATGCACTAATCTTAGGCAGAAAGAAACTACATCACAGTCCGTTGCGACTTATCCGTGAAATCAGTCGGCCTCCTTGTTCACGAGAAACAACTGGCAGTGAGGTGACCAGACAATTTATCGCAGGTAGCCCTGTCTACACGCGATGTTGAGCAAGGTTTGCAATGCACTACTTCAACAACTCCATATTTAAACCAGACACAGACGATGTAAGGTAGACTTGCATGCTGATAAACCTTACCGGGCAGCTATATAACAGTGAATTTCTCATAAAAAGTAATTGACACCGCATACGGACCGCGAAATGCGGGTGCGTCGTCATGCGACAAAATGTCAATGAGAACATTTATAGGAGAACCAACCCTCTAGCGAGAGGTTAAAGGACGCAAGACAAGTCCCCCTGCAAATACTGCAAATACACTTTGCAAGCGTATACCCCCGCCTTCGGCGATGTTTTCTTCGTCATAACGAAGTCAAACAACATGCATTCTGGTAATGGAATTGAGCAAAATGAACGCATTTGATTACATGGGACTCCTTATTTGGTACTCATCTGAACAAATCAGCGCCACCATACTTGGCAGCCTCAATCTGCTTGACCTCAATTTATGTCTGCTGAGGAGTAAGCCAGTAAGTGCATTAAGTTTCCTCCGCTAAAGTGTGCTGACAATACCTATTTGCAAATTATTTTTAATTCCATAGCACTACCTACAGCAGGCTGGACACACAAACCCAATTGCACGGATCAAGCAGTACTTAGGAGTGAAATCGCATAAATCATGCGCCAGCGGACCAACTGTCTACTTTGGGGACGTGTTTGGTGAACTAATCAAGGCCAAAGAAAACGCACTCTTTATTGCAAATACAAGTGAAGCGTAGTGTTCGGGAGTCAGGACCGCTGATGTCAACAGGGATGGCGAAATCGACAGCCAGTAACTCTTGAAGAAGGAGACACGATCGCCGGGACAAGAGCTTTATTAGCCTGACGTTTCGGATTCCTACTCGAATCCATCATCAGAGACAAAAGAGCAGAAACGGGTGGTTGTTGCACAATTCAATTTACGATGGAGGAGGAAGAGAACAACCAGCTGGCCTTCCTGGATGTCCTCGTATGCCGCAAAGATTGTGGTGGACTAAAGACCAAAGTGTTCAGGAAAGCGACAAATACGATGCAAGTACTGAACTTCAACAGTAACCACCCAATCAGCCACAAACGCAGTTGTGTAAGGACGCTCTATCGGCGTGTCGAAACGCACTGCAGTGAGCCGGAAGGCAAAATTGCTGAACTACAATACCTCCGACGGGTCTTCAAAGCCAATGGCTACCCGCGCAACTTCGTCGACCGGTGCATACGCAAAAGGGACGAAAGGCCTAACCGCACGGACACCAAGTCTTGGCGGGCACTTCCGTATGTCAAGAACGTTTCGGAAGCTGTCGGCCGCCTTCTCGCACCACTTGGGGTTGGAGTGGCACACAGACCGGAGGCAACCATCAGGCGTCTGATCATGAAACCGAAAGACCCACTGCCACGGCGAGAAACGTCTGGAGTCGTTTATCGGATCTGGTGCAGTTGCGGACAAAGCAACTACGTCGGAGAAACCGGAAGACAGCTCCGAACGAGAATGGCCGAACACGCGGCAGCGGTGCGCAGAAATGACGCCAGCTCTCAAGTTGCGGCTCATTCGACGAGACCCGGCCACACATTTAAATTCGATGAGGCCGAAATTCTTGCAAGAGGTGACAACCGAGTGAGCCGAGAGCTACTGGAATCATGGTTTACTTGCCCCCAGTCCATCAACAAGTGCAACGATCTTCCCATTCAATACAGCGTGCTGAGACTTCGTCTAGGCGGAGTAATTGGCCACGCGGGGAGCGCACTGGTGAACACTCTTCCCAACACCCGGGTCAACGCATCAGATGGTCGAGCAATCATCACGCCAACATCCAACGCACGTGATGAAATTGCGGCAATTATCGACTCGAATGTCGGCCATCAAGCAATGATCACCCCAAGTGTGACAATCCCGGATGAAAGGGGAAGCCGTGAACGTTCATAGGTATGCGGTAGCATGGCTGCTGCATACTATAAATACCGCAGCCCCTTGTGCAACAACCACCCGTTTCTGCTCTTTTGTCTCTGATGATGGATTCGAGTAGGAATCCGAAACGTCAGGCTAATAAAGCTCTTGTCCCGGCGATCGTGTCTCCTTCTTCAAGACTACTTCCTGGGACTCGGCTCTTCGCTTCTATTGTCAGTCAGTAACTCGACTGTCTGCGATGATCGTGGGAGCCGATAATGTCTAACAGGCACACAGGCGCACAACAGCAGTAGTGCAAGTGCCGAGCCGCAATGCTCTCGGGAGCTGCCAACTGTGATAGGCATGTAGCGGCCTAGCAACTCTATCCTATCAAAGCTGAAACACCTGGGCAATACACTAACACTTACAGTGAGTGACCAATTTCATGAAATGCTGGTCGAAATTCTGAAATACCTTGTCGATAAGAAAGGATTCCTTAAGTTAGGTTGTAATAATAATTATCGTTGGAGAAAATCAC